CCAGAAGTTGGAGTTCGAGGAAATTGGCGTAATAACCTCGAACGTTCCATTGAAGAATGGACAACGACGAGAAGAGAAAGGACAAAAACAGAGAACAAGGAAGAAACAAAGGCGAAAGACCAACAGAGCACGTTAAAGAATATCAGGGTTGGGATCAGGGTCAGCAAAGTCAGGGTTAGGGGGCATGGGTAAACTGAGCAAAGACGGAGGGAAGGAAACGGGAGAACAGATCAGAGGTGGGCGGGCAGGGTCTGGAGGAGGAGGAGGAGGAGGAGGAGGAGGAGGAGGAGGAGGAGGAGACAACGGAGAGGAGCAGTCAAGGACAGCAGCAGGAAGAGGGGGAGTAGAAAGAGAGGAGCGCACCCCAGCAAGAGCAGCAACCGAAAGGGAAGCAGGGGCCAAAGAAACCTCCATAGCAGGAACAGGGGGCGCAAGCACTGAAACGGGAGGGGAAGGAGCAACAGAGCCAGGAGGAGGAGCTGAGGAAGAAAGCGAAGCCTTCTTACCCGCCGGGGAAGAGGAAGGAGAGGAGCCAGGCTTACGCTTCTGACTTAAAGAGACCGGTGTCCCAGCAACTACGTACCGGGCAACGGATTCCAGTGTCTCAACAGGAGAAGCCGAACGAGAGCACACACGACGGCCGTTAGGAGAGCGATGGACATCCGCCCGCACCGACAGGCGGCGGGGAGAGCCGATAGATGGAGGAAGAGGATGGGAAGGAGGATCGGAGGGGGACGAGGAAGAAGACACAGAAGACACGACAGACCGGGTAGAAGGAAGGGGAACCCCAGACAGAGGACCAGGAGGAGGATCCTTCGGGAGAGAACCCAAAGGGACAGAGGAGGGGGCAGTGGGCGCATCAGGGTCCAAGGCCCGGAAACGGTTGTGAGTCTGAGGAAGGCGGGAAGGACGAGGAGAGGAAGAGCGCAACACGCGAGCATAAGAGATATTAGCATAAGGCGGGAGCCGGCGAACCTGGCGCCTCGCCTCAGGAAAAGATAAACGCTCCCGGTGCTTCAAGTTGAGGACGGCTGCCTCAAGCTTGTAATGGACACACGCACGGGAGAAGGTAGGATGGGCCTCACCGCAGTTGAGGCAACGAGCCCGGGGAGAAGCGCACTCCGACTTAGAGTGACCTTCGCCACCACACAAAGGACAGAGAGAGACAGTCCCGGAGCAGCGGAGGGCACCATGCCCAAACCTCCAGCACTTGTTGCAGAGCCGAGGAGAAGGAATGTACTCCTGGACAGAGCACCTGGCACCAGCAAGAATGACAGAGGGTGGAAGGGTCCTACCATCAAAGGTAATCTTCACAACCCGGAGGGGTTGACGGCGACTACCACGAGGGGGACGAGTAAACGTGTCCACCTGGAGAATAGAGTGGCCCTGGGCAGCGAGGATATGTCGAATATCGTCGTGGCAGTCGCGCAGGTCCCGAACACCGGTCGCAACATGGGGCGGGAGCAAAATAGTGCCAACACTGGCATTCAACTGAACGTTCTTCGAGACCCGAACGGGGGTCTCGCCAAGGCAGGATAAGGCAGCCAAGCGGGAAGCAGCATCCTGAGAAGGAGCAGCAACGACACGTGTACCGAGACGAGTGGGGTTGAAAGTAATGGAGGCATCCACGGAATCAATGAGATGTCGATGGAGGGAGAAATCGTCAGGAGGCGCAGAATCAAGAGGGAGGAGATCAAAATATTTGGCCCACGAAGCGGGACCAAACAAGGCTTGATAGGTAGCAGAACTGGAAGGAATCGAGCGAGGGCGGCCGTGACGAGGACGGCGGTGAGAACCCCCAGAGAGAGAGGGGTTAAAAGGCGCAGTAGTTACAACTAGAGAAGGAGCCGCGCCAGGGGACGAGGTAGTCACCACTGGGGGCTTGGGGCTCGACCCAACCACAGAGGAGGGAGGGGAGCCAGAGGAAGGAGTCAGAGAGGCCAAAGGAGGAGCAAGGTCGGGGCCCAATGCAGCGGAGGCTACAGAGCCCGGTCTTCCAATACGGACCGACTCGGGGGCTTGGTCGCCCACCCCACGAGCCTGAGAAGGTAAACCAGAAGAAGCCGAAGCAGGGGTAATCATCTTGACGAAAGAAAGAATTCACTCACGAATGTGTCCCCACACCCACCATGGAGCCACAATTAGAGGCAGGACACCCAACAAGAAGCTATCGCCGATCTTGTCGGGGCCTCCTAGGGGTGCGTCGCGAGTATACGCCCCACAAACGCCACCTTAAGAAACCGACAGTCCGTCGAGATCGGGTTCAGTGACGAAGTGGGGATTGACAATAAAAGGTTCCCCTCGCTCTCGACGTCGGGTACTGCAGTTCTACGGGTGCATGAGTATGCCTCCTCAAGCACCCGGGCGTCAAAATAGAAGAAGTCCAAGGGAAGAACCAGAACGAGCAAAAGGTCGGTAGGAAACGGCAAGCAGATAGGAGAAGAGGGGGGAGAAAAACGAAACAGAAGGAAAAGGAAAAGATGCCCAGCAGAATTGGAGAGGATGGCAGCAGGAGCACAAGGCTAGAAAAGGACAGAGGACTGTCCCAAGGAGCATCACACTCCGGCAGCCGCCCACTAAGCCCCCACACGGCGACAACGAGCTGAGCGGGGAGGGGGTAGGACAGAGGAAAAGAATGGTGCCCAACCACTTGGACGGTCGGGGAGTGAATGCTGACCTTTTGGTCGACCTGTTATACTATAATTTTCTTGGAAATTTGCCACAACAATCATGTGCAAGAATTAAAATGGAAAAACAATTAAAAAATAAATAATTAATAAAATGATTTTTTGTTTTAATGTTTAAATTGATGTATTTTAATTGTGTTGGTTTTTCATTTTATTTTTTATATATCTTGAGGTTATCTTGAGTTGATTTCGGGGCTTTTAGTGTCCCCGCGGCCCGGTCTTTGACCAGGCCTCCACCCCCAGGAAGCAGCCCGTGACAGCTGACTAACACCCAGGTACCTATTTACTGCTAGGTAACAGGGGCATTCAGGGTGAAAGAAACTTTGCCCATTTGTTTCTGCCTCGTGCGGGAATCGAACCCGCGCCACAGAATTACGAGTCCTGCGCGCTATCCACCAGGCTACGAGGCCCCATTATATGATTGTGTTAATAAAATAATATTGGGGTAAAGTAATATTTGGGCCACCTTATATCATGTACATATTTAATTGGTGCTCTTTGTTTATATTGCATAGTGCAATATAGGTTGCAGAGGTTGAGGTTGCATATTGATGTTTTGTTGTGTTATCTGAAGGTTAATTTCTTGGTATGTAATAGTGTTTTATTAATATTTATGAGGAAGGTACCATGGTGATCAATTGTTCTGTCAGTGGTTATTCCATAAGGAAGATGGGCTGTTATATTAGTGCATATGAGGTTCAGCGTTGAATTACGGGCTATTCATGCCCGTGCCACCTTTTGGGTGGCTTAATCTTCATCAATCAATCAATCAGCGTTGAAGCACATGTTGGAGTGCTTCAACTTGCTTCAACAATAATGGGCTTGATGACTGGGAATTAGCGTACAGGAGTTCGTGCAGTTAAGGTAGTTATCAACTTGGTGGCTATTTTCTTGACCAATGGTTCATGGTAAAGTCACCACCTAGTATTGTGATTTTTATTGTTTGTTTTGATTAAATCCTTTAGTTGTTTGAGAATTCAGTTACAGTTGCATTGGAAAATTAATAGAGAATGTAAACATTTTTATTGAGAAACATTGAATCAAGTATTTCTAGTAGTGAGGTTATGTCATCGCAATGTTTAGTGTTCTGGGTAAATTCCGATAGGCTAGTGTTAGTTTGAAGTTTGTTTTTTGCGTGGTTGACCATGTAGTAACTGCAATAATGATTATCACTGTGTTGGGTATTATACTGATGAGATAATAGATTGAGCTCAGAATCAATGATAGTTTGCACCCAACAGAGAAGGAAAAAAGAGATGTATGAATATGCAGGTATTAGCAGATCAAGATTGTGAAGTCTATTTGAAAAGCGCAGTTATTGTAATACTTAAATACAATTTATGAACGAACATCATATTAATTTTAGAATGATATAAGGAGAGGGTGTGGAAGAGTATTTTCAATAATTGGCTTAATATTGAAATAAACAGGAACAGAATCCTGGGGCACTAACTAGATTGATTTTAGTGACCTCGATGTGCTTCATCACCCCTAGGGTCCCAGGGAGCAATAGACTAGCTGTAGCGGCCCTGCAGTGCTACACCATCACCACCCCCAAGGTCCCGGGGGAGTAATATACTTGCTGTAGCAGCCCTGCAGTGCTACACCACCACCTGCAGGATCCAGGGGGGCAATAGACTAGCTGTAGCGGTCCTGCAGTGCTCCACCACCACCTGCAGGGTCCCAGGGGGGCAATAGATTAGCTGCAGCAGTCCTGCAGTGCTCCACCACCACCTGCAGGGTCCCAGGGGGCAATAGACTAGCTGCAGCGGTCCTGCAGTGCTCCACCACCACCTGCAGGGTTCCAGGGGGCAATAGACTAGCTGCAGCGGCCCTGCAGTGCTACACCATCACCACCCGCAAGTTCCTGGGGAGTAATATACTAACTGTAGCAGCCCTGTAGTGCTCCACCACCACCCACCCCCTTACCCCCCTCCCAAGGGTCCCAGGTGGGCCATAGACTATCTGGGGTAACTGTCATTCATGCCTCACATCTTTGTAGCCTCATGACAGCTTTGTCTCTTATACTTACCAACATAACTACATAGAATTTTTTTAATTTATTAATGCATAATATGCAATACTGAAGAATTAACACAGTTTCTCACCATAGACATTGTAAACTGTGTTGAGGCATTACAGTACCAGTAGTCTGTAGGTATATAATATTAACCTGCAAACACACATTTTGATAGGATGTGAACTGGTATAATATATAATGGTGACTTATCTAAGACTGCCATGCCAAGACAGATGGTGTATTACATGATGGGTCAAACATCTGGGGCCTCCTGACCACTCTGCCTTCTTCAGGAGAATCATCGCAGAGGACAACAGCAGGAGTTCCAGGGCATCAACCCGAGCTCCTCACAGGGTCACACAGCAGTCAGCACCGTAAGTGTCCAGTTCCATCTCCCTGGTCTCCCTGGGACTTGGCAAACAACTCTCACTCATGCCTCGAGATTCTAACAAATATAAAGGATCCAACTGTTCTGATATGTATAATGTATATATGTAGTTTATTATCATAATTGAGTTTATATGGTTGAGGCGCTTTCACTTTGGATAATATATATTTTTGAAAGGTTAAATTTTTTTGCTGTGGTATAATGTCTTGCTAGTTAAGCTGAGATGAGGATGTGGTCGTCTCTGAACTATCTGGTAACAACACCAACGTTGTCATTACTTCTCCATCAATGATCAATCACACCATCGACAAAACTTCGATGCACTTGAGCAATATCCTAATTTTAAATTATGTGTATAGTTAGAACACACGACACAAAATAACATAATAATTGTAACGTAGATTTGGTAAGTAAAATAAATTAAACGTCATCTTTCATGTCAAAAGAAATCAGCTTCAAATGAAAATTATCAATTACAAAAATATTTTAAATTCACATCGAGATAAACTACAGCCAGTTATGGAAGCGTAAATCCTGGCCATAATGACTGACTGCTGCTCTCTTCTATTAAGTCTTACAATAAGTCATTCGGTTTTCTATGAAGGCTGCAAAATGTGTTGGTAACGAGAGGTTTCAGTGAAAGTCCACATTCAGTCTTAACTCTTAAAACTAACTTAAAGTAGAATATAGAGAAGCTTTTATTTATAGTTCAATTACCTAATTTCACAGAACTTTTTTTTCTCAACTTAAAGATACTAATCAACCTTTAAGACAGGTTTAGTGTAGACTTCTTAACTCGTAGTATACTGTAGACAGCTCTTTTCTCATGGAAGATTGTAGCCTGGTGAAGCTGGGGCAGTTGTGTTCACTCTGACTAACAGGTTTGTTTCCACCTCTGCTTCCCCCTTCCCCTGGTGCACTCTGGACAGTAGGTATACGACTTTGATGCCCCCAGGTTGTCACCTTTTCCTCAATAACACTTGAGTTATCAAAATGTTCTTCATGACATATAACTGCTCGTCGTACACACACAGTTTCAAACATATAAAACCTTCAAGTTGACTTTCTACGTTCCAGCACTTTCTCAGACACTCACTACAGAATACATTGTTAGATTTTACATCAATGTACTCAATTCTTTCTCAGACACTCAACAAAACCACATATTTTATTCCACGTGTGTGGAAACGACACAAGTTCCTGTGACGAAACACAATCATAAATACTCATTCCTATTATTATATATATGTTTGCCATGGCAATTTGATCTGGTGGTACTGATGTGTGTGTCCCTGACTACACATTATTGCTACATAAATATCAATAGTCAATGCTAACTGCAGAACAATAATGTTGCAGTCTGGAGGCGAAAGAATATTTCGGTGGTTTGAGGATGTGATTAACTATGTTTTGCAATTTGCAAAACAAGTATTATTTGCTAGCACTTGCAGACAAGTGGTGAAGGAGGGTTTGAATGTCACATTATGTCAAGAGATAGCTTGTAATGGTACAGTCATTATCACTGTAGCTAACAGGAGCCGTTACTATCACGCTTGTAGATCCCGTTATTGTTGCATTCCCTGAAGGTCATACATCTGAACACTAAATTCCAGTAATGTATTCGTATGTCAGTTAACTACAATCTGCTGTTATACACAATATATTATTAGGTCACCATTATTCTCTCTGTTGCCGAGAAGAACAAATTAAGTTGTATACCAATATACTGTGATGAAGCAGTATGTCGTAATCATATACCAGTATACTGTGATGAAGCAGTATGTTGTAATCATATACCAGTATACTGTGATGAAGCAGTATGTTGTAATCATATACCAGTATACTGTGATGAAGCAGTATGTTGTGATCATATACAGTACCAGTATACTGTGATGAAGCAGTATATTGTAATCATGTACCAGTATACTGTGATGAAGCAGTATGTTATAATCATGTACAGTACCAGTATACTCCCTGTCAATCTACACAACTCTGCTGTAGATAAATGTATTTATAATAATATCTTAAAAATTTACCAAATGGTGCCTGGAGAGACTGGCAGCAACAACAATAATGACTGGAAGGCTAGTAACTCACGAATGTTCTTAACAATAGAACAATTATATTATAATAATAACACCATGTGTGACACGCCAGGAAGCAACCTGTCCTCAGGGCTGTAAGACACGTCAACTACTCATCATTATTGTTCATAGTTGTAATCTCAAAAGTTTGTTACTTGGATAGAGAAAAATAAAGTGCTTACAATTTCTTGTTGATGTATAAAAGATGTCAAGTGATAAAGATTAGCATCGAAGGAGTAGTTTAGTATTTTCCTCCTGATGGCAACAAGTAAATGACCTGCGTGTAGAAGCAGTCCATCTTCTCCATGGTTCCCCATGTCATTAAACTGATGTACTAAATTGCCCGAATCTAACCTAACCGAGGGACCATGAATTGAAAATGGGACGTCACGAAAATCAGATTTTTGCCTTTGGGGAATTATACGTCAAAAAGCACTGTACTGTTAGAGAGGATGGATTGTAATGCGAAGAGGGGGAGGGGACACGTCTATTTTGACGTCTAATAATTTTTATATGTGCAAAATATTAGGAATTAATATAAATTATTTTCATAAATGATGTTCTCTCCTGCTGTCAAACTGTTGACAAACTGTCATGCATGGTGCCGTCTTCACTGCTGCTGGATCTCAGTTGAGTCATGCATGGTGTGTCTCAGTGAGTAAGAGATCAGCCTTGGGTGTTGAGAGAACAAGTGAGAGTCGCCTCTAAGGCAGTAACTGTGGAGAACATGTTGATGGAGCATCTATCGCTGCTTGTCCTCTCCTCCATCCCTACCAGCATCCCAACCTTCTTCCTATCACAATACAGCTGGTGGTACCTGTGGCACACTTCTGGCCACAACTCTCGGTGCTGGCCACAATTCTCGGTGCTGGCCACTACTCTCGGTGCTGGCCAGAACTTACTGTGTTGGCCTGAACTTATTGTGCTGGCCAGACCTTACTGTGTTGCCCAGAATTCCTTGTGCTGTCCAGAACAGTCACAAAAATATCAACAGTACCACAAGAACAACAACAGAACCACAACAACAATAGTACATCATCAACAAAAACAACAGAATCATAACAACAGTACCACAACATTATCAACATTACCATAACAACAAAGTGAGGAGATTTACGCTTACAAGGGTCCCCTCCACCTGGCAGCTGGTGCAACAGGGTGCATCAGCTGCCAGGTGGAGAGGACCCTTGTAGACGTAAATCTCCCTACTCAATAACAATAGTACTACACAATCGACTTGAGAATGGTCCAGGACGGACCAAAACGTCGTCGTCCCTTCACCTTCTAGTGTGTGGTCTGGTCAACAATAGTACTAAAACAACAATAATAATAATAATACAACAACAGTACCACAGTAACAACAACAGTACCAGAGAACAATACCACAACAACAACAGTACCCACACAGTGTACTGTGCCACACACACACACAGTGCCATACACACAGAGTGCAACACAGTGTACTATGCCACACATAGTGTACTGTGCCACACATAGTGTACTGTGCCACACACAGTGTACTGTGCCACACAGTGTACTGTGCCACACACAGTGTACTGTGCCACATACAGTGTACTGTGTCACACACAAACACTTGCAGGTTATTAAGGTGTTCTCAAGTGGTGTTGAGGAAGTGACGAGTGTGCTGGGCCATAGTGACACCTGTTGGTGGTCACCCCTCACACCGTCTCAACCCTCACACCGTCATCATCATGTCCTGCCTCACCCCTCACACCGTCCTCAACCCTCACCCTCCTCAACACCCGTCCTCAACCCTCACACCGTCCTCAACCCTCACACCGTCACCACCTCCTCACACCGTCCTCAACCGTCCTCACCCCTCACACCGTCCTCACCCCTCACACCGTCCTCAACCCTCAACACCGTCCTCAAACCCTCACACCGTCCTCACACACCGTCCTCAACCCTCACCTCACACCGTCCTCAACCCTCACACCGTCCTCACCCCTCACACCGTCCTCACCCCTCACACCGTCCTCACACCTCACACCGTCCTCACCCCTCACACCGTCCTCAACCCTCACACCGTCCTCAACCCTCACACCGTCCTCAACCCTCACACCGTCCTCACACCTCACCCCTCACACCGTCCTCACACCTCACACCGTCCTCACCCCTCACACCGTCCTCACCCCTCACACCGTCCTCACACCTCACACCGTCCTCACACCTCACACCGTCCTCACACCTCACACCGTCCTCACCCCTCACACCGTCCTCACACCTCACACCGTCCTCACCCCTCACACCGTCCTCACCCCTCACACCGTCCTCACACCTCACACCGTCCTCACCCCTCACACCTTACAGCCAAATACAGCGAGGCCGGGAAGAGATATGCACCTCATGATTGCTTTATTTACTGTGTGGTGTTTGTTGCTTGTTGTGTGGTGCTTGTTGCTTCTTGTTGTGTGGTGTTTGTTGTTGTGTGGTGCTTGTTGTTGTGTGGTGCTTGTTGTTGTGTGGTGCTTGTTGCTTGTTGTTGTGTGGTGCTTGTTGCTTGTTGTGTGGTGCTTATTGTTGTGTGGTGCTTGTTGCTTGTTGTGTGGTGCGTGTTGTTGTGTGGTGCTTGTTGCTTCTTGTGTGGTGTTTGTTGCTTGTTGTGTGGTGCTTATTGTTGTGTGGTGCTTGTTGTTGTGTGGTGTTTGTTGCTTGTTGTGTGGTGCTTATTGTTGTGTGGTGCTTGTTGTTGTGTGGTGTTTGTTGCTTGTTGTGTGGTGCTTATTGTTGTGTGGTGCTTGTTGTTGTGTGGTGTTGTTGTGTGGTGTTGTTGTGTGGTGTTGTTATGGTGTTGTTGGTGTGTTGTGTGGTGTTGTTGTGTGGTGTTGTTGTGTGGTGTGTTGTGTTGTGTGTGTTGTGTGTTGTGTTGTTGTGTGTGTGTTGTTGTTGTGGTGTGGTTGTGTGTGTTGTTGTGTGTGTGGTGTTGTTGTGTGGTGTTTGTTGTTGTGGTGTTGTTGTGTTGTTGTGTGGTGCTTGTTGTTGTGTGGTGTTGCTGTTGTGGTGTTGTTGTGTGGTGTTGTTGCTGGTGTTGTGTGTGTTGTTGTTGTGTGGTGTTGTTGTGTGGTGTGTTGTTGTGTGGTGTTGTTGTGTGGTGTGCTGTTGTGTGTGGTGTTGTGTGGTGTTGTGGTGTTGTTGTTGTGTGGTGTTGTTGTGTGGTGTTGTTGTGTGGTGTTGTTGTGTGTGTGTTGTGCTTGTTGTTGTTGTTGTGGTGGTGTTGTTGTGTGGTGTTGTTGTGTGGTGTTGTTGTGTGGTGTTGTTGTGGTGTGTTGTTGTGTGGTGTTGTTGTGTGGTGTTGTGTGTGTTGTTGTTGTGTGGTGTTGTTGTGTGGTGTTGTGTGTGGTGTTGTTGTGGTGTTGTTGTGTTGTGTTGTTGTGTGGTGTTGTTGTGTGGTGGTGTTGTGTGTGTGTTGTTGTGTGGTGTTGTTGTGTTGTGTTTGTGTGGCTGTTGTTGTGTGGTGTTGTTGTTGTGTGGTGTTGTTGTGTGTGTTGTTGTGTTGTGTGTTGTTGTGTGGTGTTGTTGTGTGTGGTGTGTTGTTGTGTGGTGTTGTTGTGTGTTGTTGTTGTGTGGTGTTGTTGTGTGAGTTGTGTTGTTGTGTGGTGTTGTTGTTGTGTGGTGTTGTTGTTGTGTGGTGTTTGTTGTGTGGTGTTGTTGTTGTGTGGTGTTGTTGTGTGTGTGGTGTTGTTGTTGTGTGGTGTTGTTGTTGTGTGGTGTTGTTGTTGTGTGGTGCTTGTTGTTGTGTGGTGTTGTGTGTGTGGTGTTGTTGTGTGTTGTGGTGTTGTTGTTGTGTGGTGTTGTTGCTGTGTGGTGTGTGGTTGTGTTGTTGTTGTTGTGTGTTGTGTGTTGTTGTTGTGTTGTGTGGTGCTTGTTGTTGTGTGTGTGTTGTTGTTGTGTGTTGTGTGTGTTGTTGTTGTTTGTTGTGTGGTGTTGTTGTGTTGTGTGGTGTTGTTGTTGTGGTGTTGTTGTTGTGTGGTGTTGTTGTGTGTTGTTGTTGTGTGTGTTGTGTGGTGTTTGTTGTTGTGTGGTGTTGTGTGGTGTTGTTGTGTGGTGTTGTTGTGTGGTGTTGTTGTGTGGTGTTGTTGTGTGGTGTTGTTGTGTGGTGTGTTGTGTTGTGTTGTGTGGTGTGGTTGTTGTGTGGTGTTGTTGTGTGTTGTGTGTGGTGTTGTTGTGTGGTGTTGTTGTGTGTGGTGTTGTTGTTGTGTTGTGTGTTGTTGTTGTGTGGTGTTGTTGTTGTGTGTGTGTTGTTGTGTGGTGTTTGTTGTGTGGTGTGTTGTTGTGTTGTTGTGTTGTTGTTGTTGTTGTGTGCTTGTTGTTGTGTGGTGTTGTTGTTGTGTTGTGCTTGTTGTGTTGTTGTGTGGTGTTGTTGTTGTTGTGTGGTGCTTGTTGTTGTGTGGTTGTTGTTGTTGTGTGTGTGGTGTGTTGTGTTGTTGTTGTGTGGTGTTGTTGTTGTGTGGTGTTGTTGTGGTGTTGTGTTGTGCTTGTTGTTGTTGTGGTGTGTTTGTTGTGTGTGTGGTGCTTGTTGTTGTGTGGTGTTGTTGTTGTGTGGTGTTGTTGTTGTGTGTTGTGTTGTTGTGTGGTGTTGTTGTTGTGGTGTTGTGTGTGTGTGTGTTGTTGTGTGTGTGGTTGTTGTTGTGTGGTGCTTGTTGTTGTGTGGTGTTGTTGTTGTGTGGTGCTTGTTGTTGTGTGGTGTTGTTGTTGTGGTGTTGTTGTTGTGTGGTGTTGTTGTTGTGTGGTGTTGTTGTTGTTGTTGTGTGGTGCTTGTTGTTGTGTGGTGCTTGTTGTTGTGTGGTGTTGTTGTGTGTGGTGTTGTTGTTGTGTGGTGCTTGTTGTTGTGTGGTGTTGTTGTTGTGTGGTGCTTGTTGTTGTGTGGTGCTTGTTGTTGTGTGGTGTTGTTGTGGTGTTGTTGTGTGTGTTTGTTGGTTGTTGTGTGGTGTTGTTGTTGTGTGGTGTTGTTGTTGTGTGTTGTGTTGTTGCTTGTTGTTGTGTGGTGTTTGTTGCTTGTTGTTGTGTGGTGTTGTTGTTGTGTGTGTGCTTGTTGTGTGGTGCTTGTTGCTTGTTGTGTGGTGCTTGTTGTTGTGTGGTGCTTGTTGTTGTGTGGTGCTTGTTGTGTGGTGCTTGTTGTTGTTGTGTGGTGTTGTTGTTGTGTGGTGTGTTGTTGTTGTGTGTTGTTGTGGTGTGTTGTGTGTTGTTGTTGTGTGGTGCTTGTTGTTGTGTGGTGTTTGTTGTTGTGTGGTGTTTGTTGTTGTGTGGTGCTTGTTGTTGTGTGGTGCTTGTTGTTGTGTGGTGTTTGTTGTTGTGTGGTGCTTGTTGTTGTGTGGTGCTTGTTGTGTTGTGTGGTGCTTGTTGTTGTGTGGTGTTGTTGTTGTGTGGTGCTTGTTGCTTGTTGTTGTGTGGTGTTTGTTGCTTGTTGTGTGGTGCTTGTTGTTGTGTGGTGCTTGTTGTTGTGTGGTGCTTGTTGCTTGTTGTGTGGTGCGTGTTGTTGTGTGGTGCTTGTTGTTGTTGTGTGGTGCTTGTTGTGTGGTGCTTGTTGTTGTGTGGTGCTTGTTGTTGTGTGGTGCTTGTTGTTGTGTGGTGCTTGTTGTTGTGTGGTGCTTGTTGTTGTGTGGTGTTTGTTGCTTGTTGTTGTGTGGTGCTTGTTGTTCTGTGGTGTTGTGCTGGTCAGTGACCAGTGGTGTGCTGGTCAGTGACCAGTGGTGTGCTGGTCAGTGACCAGTGGTGTGCTGGTCAGTGACTAGTGTTGTGCTGGTCAGTGACCAGTGGTGTGCTGGTCAGTGACCAGTGGTGTGCTGGTCAGTGACCAGTGGTGTGCTGGTCAGTGACTAGTGTTGTGCTGGTCAGTGACTAGTGTTGTGCTGGTCAGTGACCAGTGGTGTGCTGGTCAGTGACCAGTGGTGTGCTGGTCAGTGACCAGTGTTGTGCTGGTCAGTGACTAGTGTTGTGCTGGTCAGTGACTAGTGTTGTGCTGGTCAGTGACCAGTGGTGTGCTGGTCAGTGACCAGTGGTGTGCTGGTCAGTGACTAGTGTTGTGCTGGTCAGTGATCAGTGGTGTGCTGGTCAGTGATCAGTGGTGTGCTGGTCAGTGATCAGTGTTGTGCTGGTCAGTGATCAGTGTTGTGCTGGTCAGTGATCAGTGTTGTGCTGGTCAGTGATCAATGGTGTGCTGGTCAGTGATCAGTGTTGTGCTGGTCAGTGATCAGTGTTGTGCTGGTCAGTGATCAATGGTGTGCTGGTCAGTGATCAATGCCATGTATATAAATGTGGTGGCGCTGTTCACTGTTCAACACACAGGTAATATTATCCAGTATCTTGGCGTAGTACATACGAGTCTTAAGACGAGATCGTCGAGCCGGGCGAGGTGTCGTCAACACCGGTGGTAAGTCTTCTTCCACCACCTCCCCATTCTGTATTGTCCCTCCTCCACCCCTGGCTACAACACACACCTGCCTTCACTCCTGGCTACAAAACACACATACCCGCTTTATGTCTCTCTCTCTCTTCAACCGTCGTATTAACCACCGTTAAGGAGCCGGAAGGTGCGCACAAAGAATGCCTCAAGTCCCCCCTCACTCTCTCTGCTATAGGTAAACCAGCTACACAACCAAGCTGGCTTTGGCTTCAGGAAGTTCTTCGATGAAGTCAAAGCAGACATCAAGAACTTTGTGTCACATCCACATGCTAGACATTAGCAGTGCGGTGAGTGCCTGGGCCACACCACGTGTCACACCTGTCTTGCTCCACCAGGTGTGGTCACCTGTCTTGATCCACCATGGCTTTCTCCTCATTATCCACCTGCACAACCCTGTGTATATATTGGGTAGCAGCAGTGGGAGGCAGGACCTTAAAGGGCCGGCCACCAGTTGTGTAGAATAGTCAGTTCTGGCAAACATGCACCAGAGGCGGCTGCTTCAGTCTGTATTTGTGTTGGCTATACTGAACACGTCTCCCACGCCAGCACGTCTCCCACATGAGCACGTCTCCCACATGAGCACGTCTCCCACATGAGCACGTCTCCCACACCAGCACATCTTCCACACGTGCAAGTCTTCCACACCAGCACGTCTCCCACACCAGCACGTCTCCCACACCAGCACGTCTCCCACACCAGCACGTCTCCCACACCAGCACGTCTCCCACACCAGCACGTCTCCCACACCAGCACATCTTGTGACTCGCAGAAAGACTGGTGAGATGCAAGCTTGAGTATTCCCCCCCTCCAGGGAGAGATTTGTGAGGGTACCAGGGAGAGAAATGTGTAAGGGTGCCAGGGAGAGATGTGACAGGTGCCAGGGAGAGATGTGTGAGGGTGCCAGGGAGAGATGTGAGGGGTGCCAGGGAGAGATGTGAGGGGTGCCAGGGAGATATGGGTGAGGGTACCAGGGAGAGAGATGTGTGAGAGTGCCAAGAAGAGATGTGTGAGGGTGCCAGGGAGAGATGCACTAGGGTAGGAGAGATGTGAGTAAGGAGTGTAGCCACCCCCCAACACCAAATAATCATAAGGTGAGGCGCCACACCTCCCCCAGCGCCACACCCACCACCAAGCTGACCAAGGGATGCTCTGGCACGACTGATCAACCACCAATACTCAATATATATAATACTCAATTATAGACCTGTATCATTGACAAGTGTAATAGTGAAAGTATTGGAAAAACTAATCAAAACTAAATGGGTAGAACACCTGGAGAGAAATGATATAATATCAGACAGACAGTATGGTTTTCGATCAGGTAGATCCTGTGTATCGAATTTACTCAGTTTCTATGATCGAGCCACAGAGATATTACAGGAAAGAGATGGTTGGGTTGACTGCATCTATCTGGACCTAAAAAAGGCTTTCGACAGAGTTCCACATAAGAGGTTGTTCTGGAAACTGGAAAATATTGGAGGGGTGACAGGTAAGCTTCTAACATGGATGAAAAATTTTCTGACTGATAGAAAAATGAGGGCAGTAATCAGAGGCAATGTATCGGAATGGAGAAATGTCACAAGTGGAGTACCACAGGGTTCAGTTCTTGCACCAGTGATGTTTATTGTCTACATAAATGATCTACCAGTTGGTATACAGAATTATATGAACATGTTTGCTGATGATGCTAAGATAATAGGAAGGATAAGAAATTTAGATGATTGTCATGCCCTTCAAGAAGACCTGGACAAAATAAGTATATGGAGCACCACTTGGCAAATGGAATTTAATGTTAATAAATGTCATGTTATGGAATGTGGAATAGGAGAACATAGACCCCACACAACCTATATATTATGTGAGAAATCTTTAAAGAATTCTGATAAAGAAAGAGATCTAGGAGTGGTTCTAGATAGAAAACTATCACCTGAGGACCACATAAAGAATATTGTGCAAGGAGCCTATGCTATGCTTTCTAACTTCAGAATTGCATTTAAATACATGGATGGCGATATACTAAAGAAATTGTGCATGACTTTTGTTAGGCCAAAGCTAGAATATGCAGCTGTTGTGTGGTGCCCATATCTTAAGAAGCACAACAACAAACTGGAAAAGGTGCAAAGACATGCTACTAAGTGGCTCCCAGAACTGAAGGGCAAGAGCTACGAGGAGAGGTTAGAAGCATTAAATATGCCAAAACTAGAAGACAGAAGAAAAAGAGGTGATATGATCACTACGTACAAAATAGTAACAGGAATTGATAAAATCGACAGGGAAGACTTCCTGAGACCTGGCACTTCAAGAACAAGAGGTCATAGATATAAACTAGCTAAACACAGATGCCGAAGAAATATAAGAAAATTCACCTTCGCAAATAGAGTGGTAGACGGTTGGAACAAGTTAAGTGAGAAGGTGGTGGAGGCCAAGACCGTCAGTAGTTTCAAAGCGTTATATGACAAAGAGTGCTGGGAAGACGGGACACCACGAGCGTAGCTCTCATCCTGTAACTACACTTAGGTAATTACACTTAGGTAATTACCACTCCGCCTCCACTGGCTTACCAGCACCAAGATAGCTTCCAGTGCTCATTGACAAAATTTAATATATTTGGGCAAAATATTATAATGGCACGCACCTTTTTCATATATGCAATGCATCAACCACTTTCTAGAAATTTAATGTATCACTGCTTGCATGTGCAAAGCTTCTTACCTTTTTGTAGTCAGTTGCTTATAGTGTGCTAGTTAAGTATAGTGTGTTATTAGATCATAGTAGTAGGGATGAAGGTTTAGCGACAACTTTTTGTTTTAGTAAAAGTCGTCGCTAAAGGTCACCTTAAAAAGGGCTAATGACCTATCTTGGAAAAGCATTCCGCGAGCGCTATGTCATGGGTTCGTATCCTGGCCGGGGAGGAATTGCTGGGCGCAATTCCTTAACTGTAGCCTCTGTTTAACGCAACAGTAAAATGTGTACTTTGATGAAAAAACGATTCTTCGCGGCAGGGGATCGTATTCCAGGGACCTGCCCGAAACGCTACGCGTACTAGTGGCTGTACAAGAATGTAACAACTCTTGTATATATCTCAAAAAAAAAAAAAAAAAAAAAAGTCGTTGCTAAAGTGTCACTTTAAAAAGTGCTAATGACCTATCTTGGAAAAGTCGTCATTAAAGAGTCACCATAAATTAAATAAATAACTAAATCCAACGAGTCAGTTTTCCACATAAGATTGGGTGTCGGTGACAAAACTATTTTCTTTCCTTAATGCGTCTGAAATAACTATGGTTTATTACTCAGGGAAAACTGGATTGTTAGTTGTGAAACTACACTTCTAAACGTATAGAGCCAGGTTCAAGAACTAACATCTCACACTTAGAATTACTTAACATGTTCCTTTTGAACATATTCTCTGAAAAAGGACTTCCTCTTACCTTAACTTTACTCGTAAATGGATACAGAATAACGTGTATTTTTTAATTTTTTGTGAACAAAGCTGCGAAGGGAGGTTTGGAGGGGAAGGGGAGATAGGGAAGGGGTGAGAGGAAGTAGCGTTCTTAAGGCAGATAATGAGTGGGGAGGAGGGGGGGGGGGAAGGAGAGTGGGTGATGAGATATGGGCAGAGACAGGTGGTACAAGGGTATGGGGGAGTTGGGTTTAAGAACTAACATTTGTAGCTGGAAATTACTTAAACTCCTAATGAACATATTCTCTGAAAATGATCTTATTATAATTTTATAAAAAAAAAAAAAAGTTGCCAACTTACAGATGAGTTGGGACTGTGACAAAATTTTACCCTGAAAACAGGCGACAGGTCAGCAATATATTTTTAGGATAGACACCCCTACCCTGACAGGTCAGCGGTAAATTTGGGCCAAAACTCAAATTGTGCAATATGAAGTCATCCCTACTACTGATCATAGTGTGTTAGTAGATTATAATGTGTCTTTTCCCACGTACTTGTCTGTAACTATTGAGCCTATAATCTGTAACTGTTAGTAAGTGTAACTATAAGCTATCCGCATGCCAAATAGCTTTATTAATAAAGTTTTAAATCTTGTTAATATAAAGTTCCATTATAGTGTTTATTGTTTCCTAATAACAGATTTTTGTATATGTCAATTGATGTCATAATTAAGAAACATTAACAATTTAAATTATATATATAAATATATATAAATATATATAAATATATAAATATATATAAATATATATAAATATTTATATATAAATATATATATATATATATATATATATATATATATAAATATATATGTATATATGTCGTACCTAGTAGCCAGAACGCACTTCACAGCCTACTATGCAAGGCCCGATTTGCCTAATAAGCCAAGTTTTCATGAATTAATTGTTTTTCGACTACCTAACCTACCTAACCTGACCTAACCTAACTTTTTCGGCTACCTAACCTAACCTAACCTATAAAGATAGGTTAGGTTAGGTTAGGTTCGGTCATATATCTACGTTAATTTTAACTCCAATAAAAAAAAATTGACCTCATACATAATGAAATGGGTGGCTTTATCATTTCATAAGAAAAAAATTAGAGAAAATACATTAATTCAGGAAAACTTGGCTTATTAGGCAAATCGGGGCTTGCATAGTAGGCTGAGAAGTGCGTTCTGGCTACTAGGTACGACATATATACATATATATTTATATATATATATATATATATATATATATATATATATATATATATATATATATAAATATTTATATATATTTATATATATTATATATATTTATATATATATATGATTTATATATATATTTTATATATTATATATATATATATATATATATATATATATATATATATATATATATATATATGTATATATATATATATATATATTATTTATATATATATATATATACATATATATATATATATATATATATATATATATATATATATATATATATATATATATATATATATATATATATATATATATATATATATATATTATATATATATATATATATTAGTATATTTTTGGTAGCAGTCTTTCCTGTAGACATATATTATTAAATATGACCGAAAAAGTAAGATTAATAATTCTAACACGAATTTTCTCAATCTTTCGTACATTACGCTTCACTGTTGGAGGTAAATCAAAAATCACTTCTCCAAAATTCATTTTTATTTCTAGTCTGACGCGACACGGGCGCGTTTCGTAAAACTTATTACATTTTCAAAGACTTCACAAATACACAACTGATTAGAACTTGCGTTTCCCTGATTTTATATCTACATTTGAGTGAGGTG